AACTAACTTAATGAATAATTAATACATATTGATATACACAAATAAAGTAAGTGTTTCTTTACATAGTAATTAAAATATGCATACAGAAGGGAATAATGGCATGCACACCCAGCAACGGACGATCCCACGACAATTTGCCAGATACAGTTCACTCAATTATTATTCACCTCTGTTACCCACTTATGATCACATATAAATCATTAGTTCCCGTGGGAAAACTGATCACACAAAGAAATAAACAATCATTCCCACGATACGTTGGGCCTAACGCCAACACTGTAACATGAATGTACGTTTGCATAGAACATAAGTATATCAATATACATGCTTGTAATTTACACATAATTATAAATGTACATATTAATATATTTACTTACGTATCTTATAAGGGTACGTAACATATGGCACGGTCATTTCCTTGTCTGAAAGAGAGTTCTTGGGCAGGAAGGAAATGTGTTGAGAGTGGTCAATTTAAGACATTCAACAAGAACATTTGCACGCTCCTGAGGTGTTTGACAGAGTACCCGTGATTTCAGTGAGAAATCCGGTTGTATGACTTTGCAAGTCACTGTGGTCTGGAGTACACGACTGACAATGCCTGGGCCGTAGGTTCACGCCTACGTATAGTCTCAGTGGATTTTCTCATTGATATGTAACACGTTAATGTTATTTCTGTGTTTTTCTTTAAAATGTTATATAGTAGCGCAAGAAAAACCCATGTCCGAGGACGAGAGTTACCTTGTTACTTAAACAGGACAGTACTGATTTATGATTTTCTCATTGAGGTGGCATTCGAATACACAGACTGTTATAGTAATGCTACTCATAGGGATGGCAGCTCCCACATCATCTTCAGTAAGAACCCGGATCTAAGGAAATGTGCAAGTTCTGTCTGAGAGTGCTTACTCTCTTTGGGAAGAACTCTTTACTAATATTTGGACTCAATTAATTCATTGAATGTACATTACTATTACAAATAATTATAAGATTAATGTGTTATTCAGTCAAATTTAGATGAAATGAAAGAACAATTATCAGGTAGGTTGTGTTGCCGTGATTTCCAGGACCCACAAAGGAACACAGTTAAAATGAAGAGTATCACATTCAAAGACAGTTCACAATTACGGAGCTCCAGTTCCGTTCCTTCGTGCATCAATTAACATTTAACAAATTTAATTATCTTTGCAATAGATTGGTTAATGATTAAGATAAGAGCATATTGGACAATTGTAAGCAATGAATATCACATAGGTTGAAAAACACACAATGCCTAAGCCATGATTGCTACCTTCAGTTGTTTAGTTGTCATGTGTCTTAACTATGAACCCATAAGTGTTGTCTATAATCTGATCCTAAACAAATTGAGCTCAGGGTTTTGCCGTTAGGCAGCCCAAGGGTGCGGTTGGGTCTGGGCTTTGATCCACAGTTTCTGCCAGCCAAGTAGTGTTGACAGTTGGTGCTGGTGACGATAATGGGGCCCTGTAGGCGCGTGTTGGGCCTGCATTAATGTGTTTTCCCTTAACCCCCGGTAAGGCGGATGACGTCGTATGGGCTGGATTTCTCCGACCAGATAGATTTTCCAGCTGTTGATGTGGCGGTGGTGGATGTGCTACGTGTTGCTGAGACCGAGGTTATTGGTGGCCAGCTCGTAACCGGCCACCAGTCAGTGGTTAAGTTCCATTAGAGTGATGTGTTCCTTGATTTTATTCGGAGTTATGACGAGGGCAATTATGACGGACCCTCATCTGCGGTTGAGGGTCCTTCTCCGGATGTGTGCTCTGGTGCAGGTGTTGTACTGGTGCTACCTGCTAGTTTTGTGGGGGCCCCCTGGTGGCTCGGGGTGTATGGGTTGTGGCGTGGCTTGTGTCGTGGAGGATGTGCAAGTGGAGCTTCGTCCTGCACGGGATCAGTCTCCTGGACTGAGTGTGGTGAAGTCTGTTGAAAGGCTTTTCCCTCATTCCCTGCACATGTGGGGAAGGATTAAGGTTCCCCAAGTGCCGTATGTGCAGGAATTGGTGTGCACCCACTACCCCTTGTGGGGCTGCATCGTCTTCGGTGGATGTGTACACCTCTAGTCACCCGCTGGGGGCTGTCCTGCAGCCTGTGCAGTAGCGTAAGCGATGGTCTATCAGGTCACTTTACTCTGGTAAGAGAGCAAGTGTGGATTCTGAGGACTCGGCGAACTCTCAGGACTTTGTGGATAGCGTGGCTATGGTGCGTGTGGGTCCTGTGTTGAGTAACTGGGTTAGTGGTGGGCTCCTTGCCTGCACTTGACTGTCCCCCGACCCCCTTTTTCCCCGCGGTTGCTGGTTCCCCGGGGTGGGGGATTGTTGCCCCTAGTGTTGTTGGTCGTGAAGGGCAAGATTTGGTTGAGGTGCTCAAGAAGGTGTTGGTAGCCGCTCCCCTTGAGGCTTCCGATTCGTCATGTCATCCTGATTGTGGTGCTGCTTCTCACCATCCCTTTCTTCCTGGGAAGTTACTGCCGCCTGACCCAGTGCGGTGACGGAAGTGTTTTCGTATGAGTATGAGTGCCTTCAGGCTCTCCGTACCGTGATTTTTCACTTGTTACAATTTTGTTGTGCTAATAAAGACGTGTATGTATTTATTTTCTGGAGTGGCTGATTTGTCGCTTTGTGTTCTTTGTTTTTTTCTCTCCACCGGCTTTCCGTATGAGCTTATTTGTGAATTGCTTGTACCTTTCCGATTATCTGCTGTCCCTGTGTATGTGATTAGTAAATGTGCATGTGTTTCTCGGTTACGTGTTGCTTTTATAGTAGTTGCAACGGTCCCAGTGTTTTGGGTCCTGGTGTGTATGCGTGGCACCGTGTGGGTGGTGCATTTTAGTTTTTATGAATTTGCCTGACTTGCTTTGATGTGCTTTATTGATGTATATGCGGTCTGTGTTGGTCGGTGGATGTGGTGTGGTCCTGTTTTATTTTTCATTATAATGTACTATGTTTTGTTTGTGGTATGTTTTACTGTTGCACTGCTTCTTACTCTTTTTGAGTTTGTTTTGTATTGTATATGTTCTTGTGTACTCTGTATTCACCTGTTCTGGTGCTTTGGTACCTTTTTCTTATGTTGCATTTATATATTGTTCCAAATAAAGAAGAAAAAAAAGTTGTCATGCGTCGTAACTGCGAACCCATAAGTGCTGTCAATAATCTGATTCTAATGAAACTGAGCTCAACCGACAACAGATTAGAAACGAACTTAAGTTAGTTGGCAGAGGTTCACAGGGGTGCAAGTCTTTAATGACGGTAACAAGATTAGTCACAATAGTGGCGGACATTACACCAATATTTTGCCAAAATGACGTCTAGTGAAGTAGATGGTGGCTTGTGTCTGTCTAGCAAGAGGTAACGTCAATAGTGTTGACAAAACTACACACTAGAAAGTGAAGGAACGACGATGTTTCGGTCCATCCTGGACCATTCTCGGTTTGAGAATGGTCCAGGACGGATTGAAACGTCGTCGTCACTTCCCTTACCAGTGTGTGGTTTGGTTAACATATATCAGCCACGTTATATTGATACCTCGTCTGTATAACCTTAATGGTGTTTATCACACATCAAAACCACCCGGACGACAGCAATATCTTTTGATGTACTCAATAGAGACCACACGCCACAATTATCTGAAGACTCCTCAGTCCGGTATTAATAATGTAATAGTGCAGAATAAGTCTCATGGTATGATAGCTGTTGCTTGTGTGCAGACTGGCTGGGATGTGCTGTACATCAATGGTGAGCAGTCTCCTCCCCTGCGTTGCCACACGCAACTGATTACTAAATATTTTTAATTGATGTTAATAAATCTACTGCCCCTTTTATTTATATATTAATATCTTATTCATTGATTCAACTTTCGTTTATTTATATTTTTAGGCCATCTCGGAACAGATAACAGGTTTATAAATTAATTATTATATATTTAAATAACAGCCTAATGAAATGGCTATGATTATATATTTTCCTAAATTTGTGTCAGTAACTTTAATTTTTATTTAACTGACGGAATCTGATTTAATACAACAAACTAGCAAATTTAATATAATAATAATTGTTGCTGTTCTGCAATATTAATTATCTGCTTGAAAATAGTAATGTTTAGAATAATGGAAATTATTATTATTATCATAGTTTGTCACCTATATGTGAATCATAAGATCATCTTACGAGAACATGGAGACCCCGTGGGTCTTGATATCTCACGTGATTTGATTTCATGTAATAGTGCCTTATGGAATCATAGAGTCCTGATAATATATTTAAATTGATTCGTATAATCTGATAATGAATAAAATCCGATGTTATATATGTAAGAAATTTTCCACACTCACCACTATTGAGGAAGTGCCACTTGTGCATGTCCCATCCTTGCAGTGAGAACATCATTAACGTGAGAATTATTCAGTCATCTATTAAAGTCAACCAAATTCACAACAACTATAGGTATTCTCACTCAACACCTGAATCTACATGGAAACAGACAAGTGTCTGCACATCTGGCACTCTCTATGAGACAAAGTGGACATATACTGGCTTACTTCATACACGTGCAACAGAGATACTAGTAAAATCGCATTAATGATAAATTCCTAAAACTGTAAAGTGTTAAATTGAACAAAATTGATTTATCATGTCTCAGGACACAAATTTTGTTTAAGGAAATTATTACTTTGTACATTGAGCTTCTCAGTTCATCCCTTACTACACAAATGTTAGTGGAAAATACCAAGTAAATACTAGTTTAGGAATAGTGCAAAGCTATGTTCGATGCGATTAACTGTGATATTGTTATAGCTGAAGTCTACCAATCTCCAATCTCTGTTAGTGTTTATGGTGCCTTATTGGTCCACTGACTGTGTGAATATGATTACTTATATGTATCCTTATTATGTTTATCATATTACCTAACATTTAAAGTCTCTTTAAATACACGAAAACACTCAGTAATATTTTTTGGAATCACAAGTAGTTAATTACGCATGTCTACAGATGTTGGTGGGATGGTGGCTTGTGTTCTCCTTGATCATCACTACAGGGTTTTCTTCGTCCTTGATGGCGCACCTCACTGTGAAGGAAAGATCGCGGCCACTTGAGACTTTAGAGGACCTGGTGAATCAGCCTCACTGGAAGTGGGGAACCGATCCCTGGATGCTAACAGAAGCAGCTGTTGATTATTTTAGCAAGCATCCCAATCCTGTAACCAGGCATATATTTCATGAAATGGAGGTGGGTACTGTCCATATTTTAAAATATATTAATTTTGTTGAATTTTATCAGTTCATTTTATGTTCAATGTCACTGAACCCCTCGTTACTTCATTAACAACGTAGATATAAAACACCTTTAATTAAAACCTCTTCGCTAGTTGATGAAGGTGGACGACGCTCTGAGAAAAGTGCTGGCAGGAGGGTTCTCCTTCATCAGCTACAAGAACTACGTTACCGTCATCATTGAGACTCGCTACTCGGACGCGAGAGGCAACACTCCCCTCTACATCAGCAACAAGGCATTTCCGATCTTAGCTGCCATTGGATGGGGCATTAGGCAAGCCTTCTTGATTGTTATTCTAGTTCTACATAAACTCAGTTTTAAAAGGAATTTTATAGTAAATTTTGTCAAAAACTAAAATGTTAATTACGTTTACAGCAGAATACTTTAAAGTATAAATAATTGGTTACAATATATTCATGCAATGATTATTTTTCGCTGATAATTGCAACTTAAAATGCAATAGACTAAGCATAATAATTATTAATAATAATTCATTGTGTTAGGGGACAGGCATCCTGTTCATATATACAGTATACGTTAGGTTTATATCAAGGTTCCCCCCCTGCTTCGGATTACTGATCCTCCAGGATGCAACCTCACAACAAGCTAACTATCTCCTGGGTACCAACTCTGCTAGGTGAAGAGGTACATTCGGTGATAGGAAACGTTCCCAACCATTTCTGTCCCGCCCGGGACTCGAACCCGAAATTCTAGATTGTGAGTCGAGAACGAACAAGACTGTTCGTATACCGAAACCATAAAACAATACAGACAAATTAAAATAATCTTCATCTCCTTCATAAATGCATTTCACCCTAACAGAAAAGGCGCACCATTTTATCAACGTTTCACACAACTAATGACTCGTCTGGAAGCTGCTGGCATAATTACCTACTGGACTGCAGACGTGATGGCCAGGCGGGTAAGGGAGGACAGGAAGGCTGCAATGATCAACGCTACAACCATCCTGGGAAACGCAAACCAGGTAAATCTCCAACACATGATCAATACATACTTAAAATATTACTCAGTTGCAGAATTTTGTTATGCTTGTCCGTTATGGTGTACGTCTTTGTTACGAGCGAGACCCTACAGGAGTTTTATGGTAGTCAATATTATTGGTTTCCAGGATGAAGGAGAGGAAGTGGTGCTGAGCCTCAACCATCTGCAGGGAGCCTTCTACATGTTGCTGGTGGGCTCCTGCGTCGCCTTCCTCACCCTGCTGGGGGAGAACCTCGCCCACTGCTGCTCCTCGCCTCAGTAACACCTTCCTCACCCTGCTGGGGGAGAACTTCGCCCACTGCTGCTCCTCGCCTCAGTAACACCTTCCTCACCCTGCTGGAAGAGAACCTCGCCCACTGCTGCTCCTCGATAAAAGCCTAACGTGTCAGAATATACTCTGGCTTCCTGTCCCCCGACTCAGTGAATTAAAAATTACAATCTATTTGTCTATCCATTCACCATACCCTCTATTATCCATCAGTCAACCTAGACCATTACCTCGGCCAAATTGGGAGAGGCTCTAGCTCCACACATGCGGTCTCCATCTATGAACAGACAGACAGACATTCTCTCTTATGGAATAGATTGTAAAAAAATAACATATCAAACAAATTATTTCATAAACTAGAAACCGCATTAAAATATCAGTATCTTTCATGACCTGCCAATATTAAATTGCATTTGTGAAAATAACGCCGTTTACGTACAGTTAAGAAGACAAGAAGATAAAGTATGATTTTCGTGATGAGAAAACAATCAGCCAGAATGAATATATAGCTCTTGGAGGAAATGCAAAGAAGGATGGAAGGAACTATAAACTGCTACTTGGACTTCGGGGGGTCAAATTCTTTCCCTGCAAGATGTCAGGCTGCAGGAAGTCCAGCCATAAACTCATTCATAATATTCCAGCATTGTTAATGGACTCTCAAGCTTTAGGTACCTCTTCGTCACCAGTCCATACTTGTCTGTTCCAATTCCTTATATTGTGGTAGTGGAGTCCATACCTATCCAGTGGGTGGTAGTGGACCCCCATACACATCGTGTGATCAGTTATGAACCCTATATGGACCATATAGAATTTCCCAATACCCTTCACACAAGAAGGGTATGGGGAAGTGTACCCCATACCCTTCCTGTGGGCAGTATTGGACCCCCATACCCATGCTGTGGGTGGCAGTGGACCCCATACCCATCTAGTCAGCAGTGTTGCCAGATCCAAATTGCTAAAAGTAGCGAGCTGACGGTCAAAAAGTAGCGAATTTGTAATAGGAGTATCCCAATTTTTAGTTTAATGACTGATACAGGTTTCAAAGTAATATATTTTGATATAACTCGAACTCGAACCCATACTCCCAGAAGCAACGCAACTGGTAAGTACAAGACGCCTTAATCCACTTGACCATCACGACCGGACAAAATGAGGTGATAGCCTAAGCTATTTGAACCACCCCACCGCCGGCACTCGGATAGTAATCTTGGGCATAGCATTTTACCAAATCACCTCATTCTTTGGGGCACACGTGAGGAACACAAATGCGAACAAGCCTGAATGGTCCCCAGGACAATATGCAACTGAAAACTCACACCCCAGAAGTGACTCGAACCCATACTCCCAGAAGCAACGCAACTGGTATGTACAAGACGCCTTAATCCACTTGACCATCACGACCGGACAAAATGAGGTGATAGCCTAAGCTATTTGAACCACCCCACCGCCGGCACTCGGATAGTAATCTTGGGCATAGCATTTTACCAAATCACCTCATTCTTTGGGGCACACGTGAGGAACACAAATGCGAACAAGCCTGAATGGTCCCCAGGACAATATGCAACTGAAAACTGACACCCCAGAAGTGACTCGAACCCATACTCCCAGAAGCAACGCAACTGTTATGTACAAGACGCCTTAATCCACTTGACCATCACGACCGGACAAAATGAGGTGATAGCCTAAGCTATTTGAACCACCCCACCGCCGGCACTCGGATAGTAATCTTGGGCATAGCATTTTACCAAATCACCTCATTCTTTGGGGCACACGTGAGGAACACAAATGCGAACAAGCCTGAATGGTCCCCAGGACAATATGCAACTGAAAACTCACACCCCAGAAGTGACTCGAACCCATACTCCCAGAAGCAACGCAACTGGTATGTACAAGACGCCTAAGCTATTTGAGCCAAATAGCTTAACCAAATGAGTACTTCCCTAGTTGTACTCATCTAGTTGTACTTGTGGCGGTTGAGCTCTGGCTCTTTGGTCCTGCCTCTCAACTGTCAATCGACTGGTGTACAGATTCCTGAGCCTATTGGGCTCCTTCAAATCTACATTTGAAACTGTGTATAGAGTCAGCCTCCACCACATCACTAATTAATGCATTCCATTTGTTAACTCCTCTGTCACTGAAAAATTCTTTTAATGTCTCTGTACAAGAATTCCATGTACAAGTTTGAGAGCAATGGAGATAAATTTACCTTTAATAATGAATATTATTTACAGACTTTTGGAATGGCAATGGGGAATCCTTTATCGCCATTGCTGTACATGGAATTCTTCGAAAAGAAATTTCTTTCAAAAATAACCTCTGGAATTATTCCATGGTTTAGATATTTTGTGTATATGGACTTCAGACGTAAACACAGACGAATTTGTAGCCAAACTTAATGATCAAGTCACCTCTATAAAATTTATTATGGAGACTGAAATTGATAAATGTTTGCCATTCCTAGATGTTCTTATTCATAGGGAAGATTTTTCACTAAAGTTTAGTGTCTACAGAAAACCTACGAATAACTTATCTTATGTTCATTATTTTTTAGGGCATAGATACAATGTGAAAAAGTCAATTTTTTCTTCAATGTACCTAAGAGCTCTTCGAGTTGTGAGTCCAGAATTCTTAGACGAAGTGTTTAAGAATATTGATTCGATTGGTCTCAATGTTACGAACCCGGATCCAGCGTCCGAGCCCGGAGCAGTGACAACCCCTTGTATAGTGTTAATACCCCTCCCCCTGTGTAACCTTTTTATATATTATTTATTGGTGGCGGACATTATATTATATTAAGTTCTTAACTTTCTTTCCCTTCACCCTTTAAGTTACTTGCGTCACGGATCGCATCCCTTGAAAGCCTCTACTGGCTTGGGGTTGGATACAACTTCCTCTAACACCAGAGTAAGAACCCCGTTGCGTCCCGAGAGGGCCGTAACACTCAAGCTTTGTTATCCACTGAGTTTTTTGGAAGTTTGCCGTAGCAAAGCACGTCGTACATATTATAATAATATATGCAGTGAAAGAATTCGCCCAAAGAATGTGTTGTGTTTACCATATTTCTCTGGGTTTGAGAATATTGTCAATGCCTTGAAACTTTTTAATATACATGTATTGTTTAGCTACGAAAATACTGTTGGTAAGCTATTAGTTAGGAACAGCCCTCGTAGTAATAATTGTCATTTATAAAATACCTTGTAAAGACTATAATAAGTTCTATGTTGGGCAAACATCTAAAGATTTGAAATATAGAATTTCGCAACATAAATACTCTGTAAGACATGGCCAATTGTCTAATGCTTTGTTTGTTCATCTGTCAGAAGATGCTCACCAAATTGACTGGGAGATGGCTTCTTCAATAACGAATTTTAAAAGCACATATAACAGAACCATAATTGAATCTGCTTTGATACAGATTACAAAAGAAAGTAATTTGAACATTAGCAGTGGTTTATATAACTTGGATCCATTTTTGATAGATCAATTAGAGGGCGATTTGAGTAGGATCATTGGAACACATTTGTCTCACTAATTCATTGTAAATATTTACTATCTTATGCTATTATAATCCATATGTGGCCTGTTAGTGGGTATGGATAGGAACTGCATCGTATGGGCCAATAGGCCTTCAGCATTTCTTGTGCGGCTCATGTTTGTGTCCACCTAATTCCCATTCATTTGTTATTGTACCTCACCTCACTCCACCATTCTCTCCTGCCTATTTATGTCCAATACTTGAATTGTAAAATCACTCCCTCTGAAGATGTATTAATATACGAAAGTACTTAAGGAAATTCCTGTTTCAATTTTCCTCCGTGGTCTGACATTCATATTTTTAATCACGTGTTTATTTTCGTGATTTACACACACACACACACACACATATATATATTATACATATTACATCCAGCGCTCGACCTCACAGACGCATTCATAAATTTTATCATTCTGTTCATTCAAAACAGGAATGTTCTCATATATAAATTAATATTATAATATATTAACATATTGTTCATATATAGGCTTAAGTTAGGTTAGGTGTTTAGGTTCTGTTGGCGATTATTTCTATTTGTAGTCCGTGGGTGAAGCATTTACAGCGTTGTGGTTCAAACAAAATT